TATGTTAAATCCAAAATTGATGATTTCTTCTCAAAGGCAGTGTTACCATAATTCACACCATTTAGATATATTATTTAAAAAGTGTTTAAATCTATTCAACATTGTTCATTAAGCTTCTGTTAAAATCATAAAAATATCTTGTCATGTCTGATTAACTCAACTGAATTCAGTTTATAAACAGTACTGCTGTTCTACAATGTGCTATTTATTGTTTAAGTCTAGAATTCATTAGTGTTTCCAATAACTGAAAGGGATGGAGTATTTTACTAAGATTTCTGTCACAATTATAATAAATTTAAGACTGTGGGCCAATTTTATGAAATCTATGAAATATAGAAATGATAGGAAGTAAATGAATTTAACAAAGTTCTAGCATTCATTTTGTTTAAAAGCCAATGTTCGGTGAAAACATTGTTGTTTTTCTCTTCTGAAAACCTGAAGCAAGTAATGCTAGAAACGTGATTTTCTACAGAATTGACAGGTTGGTAAGATGATATATGACTGAAGTAATATCATTCATCTATTTAATGTTTATAACCTGGGAACATGCCTTATAATATGAGCAAATGCCTACATGTTTCAATATACTCCTAAAGATAAGAGACTTTAAGCTCCTATGTTCACAAAGAAGTATTGTCTGTAAATTACATCTCAATAAGTTTAATATTTATAAAATAGGAGGAGAGAAGACTAGCACTAGTCAAATAAGAGAAAAACAGTAAGCTTGTCTGATCTACAAGTGCATCTGTGAACAGGTAGGTTAAAGTAGAAACTATTCTCTACCTCCTTGAGACTGTGATTAACAGCCTGGAATGGTACAAATTCACTGGATGAAGACAGGAAATAAGCTAAGGCTTCTGGCTCCCTTTCCCAAATTACCCCAGGGAAACAATGGAAGGGAGAAGGAAACACTTGGCAAACAGACTACACAACAGCAACCCTGGTTGCAAGATAACAATGGAGTATTATTTCTAAAATATGAAGGAAAAGAACTTGAGCCTAGAATTTTATATCCAGTCAAATTCTCATTTAAATAGGAAGGCATCTTTTCCGTTGCAGTGATAACAAATTGCCACATACTTACCTGCTTAAATCAGTACATCTTTATTATTTCACAGTCCTCTAGGTCACAAGCCTGAGATGGCTTGATTGGTTTCTCTCCTCCCAGTCCTCAAGGTCAAAATCAAGGTATCCACCTGCTGGGCTCTGATTGGGAGGTTCTGGGAAGCACCTGCTTCCAAGTGCATTCAGGTTGCTGGCAGAATCCAGTCCTTGGATCTGTGGGACTGAGGTCCCAGCTTCCCTGCTGGCTGTCAGCTGCAGCCCTTCCCTAACTCCTAGAGGCCCCTCTGCAGTCTTGCTCATGGCCCCCACAGCTCAGAGCCAGCAACAGTGCATGGAATCCTTCTCATGCTTAGAATCTCTCTGACATCGGACGCATCTGTCTTGGCTCCAGCCTGAGAAAATTCTCTGCTTTTTAGAGCTCATGTGATGGCACTGGGCCCACTCAGAGAATCCAGGAAAATCTCTCTATTTATGACTGTGCAGAGCCTAGACTAGCGGTGCCTAGACTCACAGTACCTAGACTAGAGGTGCCTAGACTCACAGTACCTAGACTAGCGGTGCCTAGACTA